AAGAAAAAAGATTGCATAAATACTTACTGGTAAGAAATCTTCATGTGCCAAACACAGTTTGACTGAAACATCAGATCACATCGCACATGTAGCTCTGTATTCTGCTCTTGTCACTTATTTTGTAATCATTGCTCATATCCTGCTAAATTCTCCATCAGAATAATTTTCAGTGACAAGGATCTAGCCACATGGTTGGCCCTGTACCTTCTCACAAAGCGTCCTTGTGTAGAGAATCTTGCATTTGTGCCAATATGTGGAGTAGATCATCTGCCATGTGTTTGTGCTACATGGAAACACTGAATGAACATGGTGGACAAGAAATACTCCCTGCAATGTTGGAGCATGCCCTATAACTGTCCCTCCAGCTAATTATTAAATTCACTTTAAGGGTCAACAGCAATGTCTTTGGGTCCCAATGGCCTGGGATAGACTCCTGGCTGTGCTTTGGACCAGCTGGTTGAACCTGGGCAAGAAGCTAAGCCCTTTCTTCCTTAGGTTTCCCGTCTGTACTATGAGATGTTTTGTTTTTAAAAACTGTTTTTAGAAAGCAGGTAAAGAGTTGATCATTTCCCTGAACACAGAGTGCTCACTACTCTAAAGAAGACATAAGAATGGAAAGGAATGAGGGTAATGAGGAAAAAGTTGAGAGAAATATTGTGTGAATAGTTACATGCTCCTCTGCCCTTGGGTTCTGAGAGGACACAGGATCAGAGGACAAAGAGAAGAACTCTGCGCCTTTTTGATTAATGAATCACCTATCATTGATGTCAGGCAATGAAGGAGGTGGTGGAAAAAATCATGTGGATGAGTGAAGGGGTCAGGCCAGAAGGAACCTTGCAGCTGCTGGGAGAGCCAGCTTCCCCGGATTCTTCCTGAAGTATCTTGTGTTTTACTCTCTGATTCCTGCATGTTTGGTTTTGAAAGGCCAAGTTCCGTCGTCAGAGATAAAATGCACACACACAGATAGCAGTGACAAAGATGAAGCACCTTATTGCAAGCTGGTGTTAGCTTATATAGAAAGTGAGAGTCAGTTATCTTAAACCAGGAAGCTCCCTGGGCCAATCATAGTAAAGGTCAGGTCATCACCTAAGGTGCACGCACGTCCGTCCTGCATATGATTCATGGGGGGCACGAGCTGTGCACGTTTATGGAAGATGGGAGGGCCAATTAGAAGGTTTTCAAAACAACTTGTTATCCATCCACTGGCAACTTGCCCGCCGCCATGTTGCATTAGGGGCTCCTTATCTGAAAGGCCCGGGGAGTTCTAGCTGCCCAATGGCAATTTGCCCACCGCCATGTTTGAAAGGCCCAGGGAGTTCTCAGGGAGACTTGATCTTGGAGAACTATGAGAAGTGAGAATAAGGGTCTTCAAGATGTGAACCTTCCCTCATTCTCCATGGTGTGTTGGAGACTGATCTTCCAGAGGCCACCCACCCTCAGGTGGTCTCCTATTCCTTCCCCGACACCCTGTTCTTCTTAGTGTTTTCCTCACCTGGTGGACATTTCATTGCTCCACTATAGCTTTATCCCATTTTCCTATACTGATGTCATTTTCTTCATTTACTCACAAGACACTGAGGCTGAGAAATTTTCTTGAAATTGTTGAAAGACTGAAAGAATGAGCTGCACTCAAGAGTAATTGGGAAAAGGATTAACAGCCTTCTTACAAGGAAGACACTGAACTCAGAAAGGATAAGTTGCCAGGCCTCAGTCTCCTGAGTCCCACTCCAGTGCTCCACTCAGAGCGTGCTCACTCTCCATACGGTGGATATGGAGAGTCTCAAGGAATATTTCTGAAGCAGCTGGGACTCACACACTGGAGTTGAACAGTTGGGCTCAGATTTGGTTGCCAGTAAGAAAGGATTCGAATCCCATCACCCACTTTCTTTGACCATTTTCCTCTGAACACCTCACGTTATGTCTTTGGAATAATAATTTTTTCATCAAACTGAATGTTGGATGGATTAGGCTGGGTATTTCTTCAAGTGTCAGTTCGTGTGTGTTCTTTACATAGCTTGACCCACCCACTTCCTAGCCCCTAGTTGGTACTCAACACATATTTGTATGCAGTAAGGAGTAGGGAAAGTGAGTCTGTGCATGGCTTTTGCCTCTGTCAGTTTATAAGAGTTAGACCTCCCTGTTTCCCAAGGTGGATCTTTCAGGTTAATCAATTCTAGACTCAGGTCAATTTTTGTCTCACCCTGCTCCCTCCCACCTGTGGGTGAAGCAATCATCCCAGACTTAGTCAGGGCTGGTGAGGGTATCTTAGTGACTGTGAGGGACAGTGAGTGATCTAGAAGCTTCTGCACCATGAGTGTGTTAGCATTGAACCCCATAATTTGTTTTGAAGGCTCTTTTCCTCTGAGCATTCAAAGCAGGTGTTGGGGGTCAGTGCTAAGCCTTCCATTTACCTCTTTGTAATAATAAACTTTTCATTATTAAATAATGGCAACAGCACAACACAGCCACACCTACCAAATGTTAGATTAGTAATATTCTCAAAGAAATTCTCAAAGTCTGGATTCAGGTCTGTTCTTTAAGCAGCTCTGGAATGCAACTAGCATGCAGCCTAGCACATAGTTGGTGCCCAACAAGTATATGTCATCAATATGGAGAAGGGGAAATGGGTGTGGGCCATTGCCTCTGTCCACTGATAAGTTTTTGACCTCACTGTTTCCCAAGGTGAAACTTTCAGGTTAATCAATTCTGTACACTGAGATCAAGCCCTGCCCGCACAGTTCACTCTACCAAAAGTGGGTGGGACGTTCCTTCCAGACTTAATCAGTGACAAGGGGACAGTGAGTAACACAGAAGCTTGTGCACCATGAGCATCTCTACACTGAGCCTCACCAGATTCCCGGGCAGCATCTCTGGGCTCCTCCAAGTGGCCTCGCTGCTCAGCTTGCTTCTGCTGCTGTTCAAGGCAGCCCAGTTCCTCCTGCACAGGCAATGGCTGCTCAAAGCCCTTCAGCAGTTTCCATCTCCACCACCCCACTGGTTCTTTGGCCACAAGGTAGGAAGAAATGGGAAGGGGAGTAGGAGAGAAGGGAGACTGCAGCCCAAAGACTGGCCAGGAAGTCCACAGGACAAAGCCTGTTGCAGGAAGGACAAAGCCTGTTGCATGCATTTAAGCATCTGAGGAACACCCAGATTACCTCTGAGGCTTGGCCCATCCCAGCACCAGGAGCTCACTCCTTTAAAAGAAGCCTGTCCTGCTGTTACTCACCTCTGTCACTCACTCTATCACCATGCAGATCTGACATCTGTCCTTGCAGCCTGGCCCCATAGAGGACTGTTGTTTGTTCTTCCTGAGTCTTTTCTTCTCAAGGCCAAGC